CTAGTTTTAGTAGTAGGTTAATTTTCGGTTTTAGTGAATATTTATATAAAACTACAAGTTGAAACGCGTTACTTCCTTGTGGAATGTGATGTTAGTATCTATTTTATGTTTGTCTGACGTATTTTTACACTCTTTTACCGCACATTTCGTCATGTTTAGCTAAAATTCTTGATCTGTTCGCGGTGCAAGTTGACCTTGAGCACTGAAGGCCCGCCCGCTCCTGTAGGCCCATTGGGCGCGCTTCAATTTGCCTCACTTAGCGTGTGCGGACTAGGTTTCTATGCGTTATTATTCTAAGGATGTTGGTGAAATTACAGGCACACGGGACCAGCGGTGCTCCTCAGATCTTTGCGTCTTAAAGCTTTGAGTGGCGCACTACAACTGTTTTGGACAGGCGTGTCGCTTTACCACCAGGCCCACGACTGTTCGTTCCATCACTTAGTAGATAGGTATCATAAAAAGAAATCTGCCACTGGCCACGGTTGTAGCGATATTTTAGAGATTCAAGCTGGGTTCAGTGTTTTTAAACCAGTGCGTTATTTGGTGTTCTTTAATATACGTTAGGCTCTCTCCATCGAGTATATAGCAGATGTACAGCTCAAGTAAAAATAACATTATTTAAAGCGTACTGTACATCGTTGTATTCTTGCAGTCTATGGAGCAGGTTCGCACAACGATCTCACGATGCTTTGCGGGTCCAATACAACGACGCATTTAGGGTGCTTTTACGTCTTCCACGACGCTGTAGCGCTTCCGGAATGTTCGCGGTCGCAAATGTCGACGGATTCGAAGGTTGCGCGCCAGCCGTCACAGACTCCTGTCTGTTGTAGCTGACAGGTGGGACAGTGGCCTATTAAGGCACTGGTCTTCTCTCCATTTAAGTTTAGGTACTAACATAGTTATTATTTAAAGTTCGTTTTGTAATACTAACACCCTATGGATCAACGTTGTCCGAAATAAATGCATTTTATTTTTTTTATTTATTTATTTATTTTATAACTATTATAAAATAAATAAATAAATAAGTTATATTATATAACCAGCCAGTGAAATTATAGAAAATTATATAAATAAGAGCGCCCTATTGGCTATCTAAATTAGATCTGATTGACACAGCCAATAGCGCCCGCATATTTAAATTTTATCGCGCTCGTTGCGTAGCCATGCAACGTGGGCAGAAATAGAGAAGAAATACTTACCAAACATTCCTGGTAACTCATCAATCACTACACATCACTTATAAATATTAAATCTCTTTTGCACTGAAATACAGACAGCGCCAACAACTGATCTGTGTGTACGTCTCCGTATATTTCAAAAATATTCTGTATTTATTGTAATAAAGATAATATCTCTAACAATAGTGTGCTGTTTCATTCGGTGGTGTGGGGAAAAACAGCAAAACATCTAATTATGAATCAAATTTCATCGGTAATTAAAAACGTAATTTTGCTATTTTCGTCCATTATAGCAAGCTCAAGTTAACTGGTCGATTTAAAGTGAAACAGTTGACGACACCCATTGACGACACCCGTCAATTGTTTCGAACTCGGGCTGGCCAATCGGAGCGCAGTTGTCACAGTAATGATACGGCAGAATAGTTTTCAAACAAATTAAACGACTTTTCGTCTCCATTTCTGGTTATATAGGGTTATATACTCGATGGCGCTCTCTAACACCGCTTAAAACAACAAGAAACACAACCTGAAAGTGCCAAACCGGTTACTGTAATGACTTTTTGTCATCCCAGTCCGCAAAAACTGCTTTGTTTTTGTTCAACTTTAGGTACCTTTATGCCTCGTAAGAATGGCTTTTGTAACTTATATTTACGATTAATTTAAATATAAATTAAATACTATATATACTAGTGCATAAAATAACACTTTTAAATGATAACTATGATAACACAATGTAGTACTTACTGAAAATATGATATACCACCCTGTTTTTTCACTTTAGTTGAGTAATTTTTACAAAGTTTTACTACACAATACGGCATCATTGACAAGCGCGCTGTCAGTCGAACAAACGAAGACTAAAGCGTGATTGACGCTCTGTATACGATTTTAACGCCGCGATTTTAACGCTGTAAGTTCGGACACTTTTTATCGCGGACCTGTCCATTTATTTGTAAGTCAATGCTCGGAAGTGACAAATTTTAAATATCAACCGGAATCTTATTTAAAGAAGCGTATATATACTGAAAAGGTTGTAAACCCTAATGAGCCGATTGACGGGCGTCGTCAGTTGTTTCACTTCAAATTGTCCAGCTTAACTTGAGCTTTGCTTAAATATAGACTCCTAAATGAATTTGTAACTATGAATACGATTGTCGGAACCAGCCAGTTTAGTCTTCGTATTAATGTTATGTCTACCACTATTTTTAATAAATAAAAAAACTATTATTTTTTATTGGGACATTACTAAAGACTTTGCATTCAACTTTGCCTATTAACAAATCAATGCTAAAAACAAGGAAAAAAGCAACGATATCTAAAACTGATAGTTATATGAACGGAATGTATGGTAGGACCAGTATTTATGTGGTCTATAGTAGGACCAGTGCCGGCTTTACCACGGAAGAAAAAACAATGTAAGTACCTTATGCCTCGATTACTATTCGATTCTGGATTGTTAATATAATTCAAACTTTACCCTGTTGGCATATCGTTGAATGTTCAATACCATCAATACCTTTTATTACAAGTTACGACGTTTTGATATTATATTGAAATTTCAATCAATGTGCTACCATCTAGCGGTTCATTGCTGAACTACGACGAAATGGAGTTATTTATTTAGTTCTCCAAAAACAAGAAGCGACCATATCACAGGGCATAAGCTTTACTTTCGTTTCTTGTAACAACAAAGTTATTTCGGTAAACAGAAAATTTTAAATTTATTAAAATATACTTTCCGATGATATGAAATACCACCACTATCATTCTTGCATTCCAAAACAGCACAATAAGGCAAAGTCTAGGATTTTAGAGAATTTGCACGAAAGAATGACACAGCCATTACGGAGTTCAGATGGTGCAAGGCGTGAAGCGCACACGGGCGCAGGGCGTTAGGCTGTGTTTCCACCAAAGATGTACGAGGCAGTTAGGCTATGCAAGGATGCGTAGCGATGCCGTAAAACGCTGTGCAGTTGAGTGGTGCGAGGTTGAGTAGGGGACTCTTTTCAGTTGAGTTGAGGGTGGGGTGAGCGGGGGCGACGGCTGCTGAAAACTCGTCGATATTTTAACCGAATCGTTCGTTTGGATATCGTTCTCGAATCGAAGGCCACTTTCCGAGCTATTCGACCGAAACAATTACTGTCAAATAAGTAATATTCGACAAAATTAAACGACAAGTGTCAAGTATGAAGCTTCATTCGCATCACGCGTCTTTTCATTTGGTCAAGTATTGCTTATTTGGCAGTAATTGTTTCGGACGGAGATCAAGAGTAGACCACCGGATTCGGATACGATATCGTTATCCAACAGCGTTTACGAAGTTAGTCGGTGAAATAGATTATAACAAAAATGAAAATTCTTTTATATAATTTTTAAGAGTTTAATGGCCTAAAATAGGAGGAATGAAATAAAGAATTTATTATTATTAAACCACGAAAAAATGTCCCAAGTCAACCTATTTAAACGTAGTGACATGTAAAGGAATATGAAAAAGCTAAAACGTTGAATTTAAATTGTAATGTCATCGCAGTACTGTCTAATTTTGCTTGCTTCGCTGTCAGTCGAACAAACGAAGACTAAAGCGTGAATGACGACTCCGTATACGATTTTAACGCCTTATAAGTTCGGACACTTTTTAGCGCGGACCCGACTTCCATATAAATGTTTCCATATTACATTCTTGCTTCGTAAACAATGGACGTGAGATAACTTTCATTCATTTTTTCATAACTGTGTTCTGAGTAACGCTTGTAGCCTTTGCCGGTCGAGAAGCTCGTGTAATCGTAGACGTTGTGACGTCATTTCTTTTCGGTTTCGAATGTAACAGTTTGACATTCGATTCACTTTGAATTCTGGTCTCTAAGAGCAAGATCCTGATCTTGAACTGGTAGTCTGGTTCGGCTAACATCATACCTCGCTCACATCTTTCGCTTTTTTGTATTTACAAATACTTAACTCCGCTAGCCCGGTTTCCACCAGAGCTGCGCTAAGCGAGGCCAGGAATATGAAGTAATTCTATTGGTGGATTTGTTCCTCGCACACCGCCTAGCTACCTCACACATCTCTGCATCAAAATAAACTGGCTTTCTCGCAAGATTATTTGTAATTGCACCCACTGCTTGCGTCCCCTAGTGGGTTCTATAGGATTTTCAAGTACTCATGTCCCCGCATAGATGGTGGAACCAACGACTAGTGGGCCCCCACTGACATTTTTTAAATAAAACCTCTTTAAAAGTCATTGATAAATTGGAAACAAGAATAATAATAAACAGCTTCATATAATGAACATCATTTTGACAGCGGCGTGTCTACTAGAGGGCACCAAGGTATTGAATGCACCCGGGCGTTGCATGGGCTGGCGCCGACTCTGGGTAGGATCTGTGTCTACTCAATAAAATAAATAAAAACACACACATTAAACAAAACTTTATTATTAAACACGAAATATGTACCGAAAACCACATACATAAAATACCTATCTAAAATATACTAAAATATAGGCATTAACTTTACAAAACTTAACAAATTTCTTCATACAGGTAGAAAAAAATAACAAACATATTGTTCGACGGCGATCAGCATTATACCCATCCAAAAAATATTGCATTTCGTCATACATTTGTATGGAATGTCTTTGGGACAGAACGTACCTTTTAAAAATGAGAATTTTATTAATTTTTTTTACCAAATTTCAAAAACTACTTAATATGAACAAACTTCACTAGATCTATAAAAAAAAATATGTAGAAAAAGGACAACTTATTCTTGCCTAATCAGTGGAGTCCTTAAATTGTTCATATTGAGGTTTAGGGTGCCTTCAAATTAGACGCGCATGGCATTATATGGAAACATTGATGTCCTAAGTCAATGGTGCCACCGTTTTATTCTACCTCTAAAGGCGCTTACAAATTAGACACCTAAAAAAGCCCTGCAGCCGCTCCATACTAATTTTCACATAATATTTAGAAGCACAGGCCACGCGCAACCCACTTTTGAAGACTAGATATTGCATGAAAATTAGTCGTTGAGCGGCTATAACGCTTCTACAAGTGACTATAATCTGTCCTTTTCGAAGAGGGAGTAAAATTACAGTTCATTGTGCAAAAGTGTTGCCCGCTTGCAGCAACACTTTTGCACAATTAACTGCAGCTAGTGATTGCAGTCGATAAATATCCTATCGACTGAATATTGGTCACGCTAATGGAATAAATAGCCGAACTCGTTTCATTTGAATCATCCTCGACCTCATTATTCATCCAATTACAGAGCACAAGTTCATTTGAATTGTCAATTTTCGTTAAGTTCATACATACATACACTGTATTTAGAACTATGTTTATGAAAAATACAAAGGGGAAACATGTTTTAAAGTTCTTAAATCGGGCTGTTCTTGTAGTGGGCCAGTTGACAAAATAAGAGTAAAGAAGACAAAAACGCAATTATTATTTATATAATCATTAAAACGTCGTATCATTTACAATTCAGTAAAATTTTATCTTCGTTCACAATCTGTCGATAAAACTGTCCACAACAACAACATAACTATGAAAATTGACAACCCTACAAACGTCATTTTACTCCGCCTCCAAAAAATACAGACTATAATTTTGTAAGCGGGTAAAGACGGAATGAAACGGTGGCACCATTGACATATGATGTTGTCAGTCGAAAAAAAACATAGATGCACGAAAGCTGTCAACGTTTATGTCATATCAACCGCCGCTGGAGCCATTAAATTTGCAACTTGAACAATTTAAAACTTCCGATTATAAATAGCGTTCGACGTAGAAAACTGTGTTGTTAAATTACAACAATCACCACTGGTAAAACAACTTGTTGTCATAACACAATGCTAATTTCGTTTCCCGTTTTTGCCCATAAAATTTACCACCTGCGCGAGGGGGCCGAATTTGCCGCGTCGCCCGCGCTTTTTGATCTCTGTCAACACGTCCTCGGATTCTGCTATTGATGAGTCTATCTTAGCTGCTTCATCTGTATAGTCATCAGTTTCATTTTTTTCAGTGTCCGAATCTCTGCGACAAACATAATAGTTGCATACAGGTTTATAAACAAATTTACCAGAAATAGAGACGAAATAAGGGCCGTCCATCTCTGGCTACTCATTAGGTATACTCGCTTGCGCAGAAATCACAAATTAGAAAAATGAAATAGTACAGTTAATATTCCAAAAATATTATTTATTTATTGTAATAAAGATAATTATATCTAACAATGGGGGCTGTTCCATTCGATGGTGTGGGAAAAACAACAAAGCATCTAAGTAATTACAAAACAAACGCAATCACATTTCATCGGTAATTAAATATGTAATTTTGCAATTTAGTCCATTATAGTAAAGCTCAAGTTAAACTGGTCGATTTGAAGTGAAACTATTGACGACAACCATCAATTGTTTCGAATTCGGGCTGGCCAATAAGAGCGCAGTTGTCACCGTAACGATTCGGCAGAATAGTTTTCAAATAAATTAAATGGCATTTTGTCTCTATTTTTTTTTTAAGTTAAGTAATGCCATATCTATTTCTGCCGCATGGTGACAGTGCCCCTCAGATTTAAAGGTCTAAGTGGCAGTGCAACTGTTTTGGACAGGCGTGTCGTTGACCATCACGCGCTCGAATTGTTCGTCCTGTCACTTGATATCATAAATGCAAATTAACATTTAGAATCCCAATTTGACAAGTTTGTCAGTATCCATTTAAATTGTAGGATTTCACATTTACACTGGCTTATTAATTTTTGACCAAAACGAGCTCAATGCACGCAATATGTTTTGTCTCGCTCACACTACGGCTGATAGAGATCGCAACAAGAATCCAATCATCCACCCACCCCACCGGTGAACAAATCAAATCACAAAAATTCATATGTATATAACACACCTACTAACAGAAATGGACCAAGGACCAAGTCGTGCGCCTCATGGGAAGCTACAGGCCTGTCCTTGAGAGTTACAGAGCCACTCAGAGTTTTAAATTGCAAAGATCTGAAGGGCATTACCACTGCGATATAAGTTAACAAGTCCTACGTGCCTGTAATTTCGCCAGCACCGAAACCGGAACACAGTAATGCTGACATTATTGCTTGGGGGCAGAAATGGACAAGGTGGCAGTTCTACCCTGGACGAGCTCTTTCACAAGTTCTACTACTAGTATAATCATATGGAAAGGCTAAGGTACACTGGAAATATGTGCTTTGCACTGGTGCGTCAAACATGCATGTTAAAACATATATTCTACTTATGCCAAGTTAAGGAATACCAGATAAAAAGCATTATATTTTAATCCGACCACAGCTACTGACCAATTGTGTAGTTGTTTGAGGCACGATTTAAAACGCGCTTACCTATTATACTTCCTAGCATATTCAACTACTCTACTTCTATTATTTCTTCTGTCTGGTGAGCTGAAGGGTGGCTCCGGCGACTGGCACATCAGGGTGTCGTAGAAAAATCTGAAACACAAGCTATTATCTTCAGAACTGCTCAAACGGTGCATTTGCGGGAAGCCTAAGAAAGCAAATAAACATAAAAATGGCGTTATTTGTCATTCTTGTCTACACCTGTCAGTACGGGGCTCTGGTTTTCGCGCCTTGCCCGCCGTCATGTCGTCTTCGGAGCTCTCTCCTGACGAGCGCGTCTGAGGAGAACCGGGGGAGGGGGATTTCTTGTGGACGCGCTGGCTGCTGAACAGATATAAGGAACGTACTTTGTATACAAATAATGGAACTAAAAGCGGATTACCTCGTGCCACGTGGCTATAAAACCGTGTAATTGATTGACTTGGGACTTAGCGTCTTTATGTTGTCCGTGTTTCAACGGACTTGAAACTAGGATGTCGAAGAGATTAAAGAGACAAATGTGAGATGGATTTCTCAGGATCCTTCAGAATTTTTTTCTAGTCCTTTTTTATAAATATCTCACAACTGCTGTATTTCATATACATTCAATTAATAATTCCTACTGTTAGTAATTTTTCTACTCGTTTTTAGTTCAATTTGGAGTTATAATATTTGTGTTAACTAACATTGGTACTTTCGTGCCATCCCATCTTATAAAGCAGTTCGAACTGAAAACCAGTATTACAGCAAGCGAATTGTTACATATGCTGAGTTGGATCCGTTTCAAGTTATATTTGTAATCATTAATTTGTTTTGTTTCTTTAAATACAATTTGAGGATAAATAGATCCACTACGAAATAGCCTTTAAGCCGTTGCAAGTAATCTACTGGAGTGGAGATCTTTAACAAGGACTCACCACCTCTTGGCGTCTCCGGCAAGCGTGGGCGATGCTGTATTTCGAGGGGACACAGGCCCGAATGGCAGCGAGGTAGCGGTTGGATCGTCCCCTACTGCCTGTTGACCATTAAACAATACACTTACTATATGAATAATAATAATAGTAATAAAAAATTAAATTAAGAACGAAACAAAATACTTCCGTGTTAACACACGGACGACAAAAAAAAAAACAAAAAAATGTCTCTCTGGAATGTGTGACGTATTGGTGCACTATGGATATTGTGAATCTAGAAACAGCAGATGGAATTGATATCTATCTACCCACATTTTTTGTTTATCATTTTTCTTTATTGTTAATTCACTTGCAATTTAAATAGCAAGAATTAAGTTATATTACAAATGAGTCACGTTAGCGTAATTATTAATAGTATTTTTTGTTTGTATTCTTCTTTATTGTTATTGCTTTTTTTATTTGTTTAGTTTGTAACTTTTAATTTATTTACCGAGATGGTGGAAATGCACGATTAAACCAGAAATGGTTTTTGTGACACAGTTTACCAGCCTAGATGTAAGTTCTTCTTTTAGTACCTGTTTCTTAATAAATAAAAATAATAAATTAGTATCTTTATCACCGCTTCTTCGACGATTTTTGGCAAAGGTTCATCAAATGCTGGTTGAGGACTTCATTTGTCCCCGAAAAATACTGGACTAGGTACCAGCACCGAGAATATTTTTTTATGGTCTAAATACATGCGCATCTCAACTTCATCGCACCTGATGGAAAGGTCGACAATGGAGTATCAACACCTAGATAATATTAATATCTATTCACTCTCGCCTTGAATAGGCCCAAGTCAGAGCGTTCAGGGAATAAGTCTGCAGGCAGGGAATCCCACTTCATAGCCGTTTGCCATTTAGATGTGGAAACATAATGCTTCGTGCGTATCCTTGGAACATGCTTTGACTGATATGTTAACCCTCAAGTTTAAATTTTCATTGAATTGATATTCAATTACTTTTCTGTGAAATGACTCCTGAATTATTAAATTATTATATTGATCTTTCTATTAATAATTATAACAAACTAGTGGAGTAATTTCACATAAAAATAATTGAATATCAATTCAATAAAAAATTAAATACAATGAATAGCGACATCTCTAGCCGGGGCTGGTAGCTATAAAAGTATCTAACTGGATGACGAAATGCCATAGATTTCTTGTAGATGGCACTACGCCTAAAAAGTCATTGAAAAACCAAATACAAAAATACGACGTAAGCACGTAGAAAAATTCGTGAGGTCCGCGTTCGTTCCGTGGCTTAGTTGGTATAGCGTCTGGCACGGTGTGCTAGAAGACGTCGTCGGTTTTAATTCGGCCGGATGGAAGGAATTTTTTCTGAGTGTTCGATCTTCGTATTAATAATTATAACCCTCAATTTCCCGAAATCTTATGCCGCATGGAATATTAATATGGGAACGATTTTCATAAGAAGTTACCAACTCGTTTTGGACCTCATAATCTGTTAAACTTAACACGTTGCCTTCTATGTTTAAAATTACATGATTCAAAGTGAACAAAACTCAACCTTGCTGCCTAAATGGAAGTAGCAGTGTGTGACCTTCTCGACGTCAGCCCAGGCGACCACATAGCGAGCCATGCTCAAAGGGATCTTGGGCAGGAAGTTAGAATGAAACTTGCCCTGGCAGTAGATTGTGATGACATCCGTGTCCTTAATCTCGAAGATTATGCGGAACACTGTTCCTGTGATAAATA